GTAACGTACTCCTTCCCCCCATACTCCACACGAGCAACTCTTTCTTGCGCTATCCAGGAGAGGCATTAAGCCCTTTTCAACCCCTTGGAGTTACTGTTACCGTGACTGTGACAGATCGCCCGTCATAATCCGGCGCCATGAAAAACATATCGGCGATCGAATGGCCGTTCAAAAGTAGTGCGTTCCATTTTTCGGCCAAATGTTCGACGTACATTACGTTTCTAAGATAATAATATGCAAAATCTTTATGATAAAGATATCGCGTGCACAAACGTGATTGATTTGATTTATCCTTCATTAAGGTACAAATAGAAAAAAGAATTAACATTTTTTTTAAATATTAAAGTAGATGAGAAAAAACTGTTATATGATAAGCTATCATAAAAAGAAAATACACGTATTTTATAGTAATATTAATTTGAGAAATTTTTTAATGCTCTCTCGTGTATATTTTACAAATTGGCAGTAGTAAAATTGGCATAGCGATAAAATGAAATCATCGTTAAATAGCCGAAAATTAACATAATCGCATTCGTCGATTTAAACTGGAAGCTTGAAAAAGATGATGCATTACCCGGGAAAGTCGAGATCCGAGTTCCCACTGCACGGCAATTTTTTTACAAAATTGTACGATGGTGGGTCAACGGGGAGCTGTCAGGCTAGATTTAGTTTTCACAACGTTCGTCTATACTTTTGTGGAAGAGCACTTTCGTACGGTGATTTGCGACACTCTATCTCGGCGTCCTTTTACGCTGTCGCTCTTAGTTGGCGGAAATGTATGGTACATTACAATTCATCTCCGACTTCATCGCCGTCGGTCGACAGGAATTTGCTGCGTAACGTCTTTCAGCTGCCCGACCGTTTAATCCGTAATGGAACAAAACATCGCGCCACCAGGTATTCTGCTCATATTTCATTCGACCTTCCACGTTAATGAAGCGCGATGTGCCAACATTTCCTTAATCATTTTTATTACAATAAAATTTAATTGACACTGAACAGTTAAGATGTTCAAAATAAATTATAATAATTTCATAAATTTTAGTTCTTTAAGTAAGTTTTAGAAAGATTTCACGCTGATAAATAATATCTGTTTCGATGCAACAGAAATTGATATTTATTTGGACACTCTGATATCTCAGACGATGAAAATAGACATGTTACATTAATATCGTTTATTCGATTAATATCGTTTATTGATCTACATTTATGATCTACTATAGATATATAGATAAAGCATGTTCGCCAGATACACGATAACACCGCGTTGATAATTCATAATTATAGTAGAAGTCATCGATAAATGATATAGTTTCGAAAAAAATCACCGCACCGAGATTACTTTATGATTTTATCCGACGAAAAAAGTGGTCGTCCGAGTCTCTCATTTCGGTCGTGTTCCGTAATTAAATTTATGAGAGTTAACTGTTTCGGACCTGTGCGCCGGCCATGCGACGAGGAAATGCACTCTTGCCCTCCGTATATGTAAACGTGTAAAACGTGTCTACGTGCGTGCCTGAACGTGCATGAAAGTTCGCCATTTAACATCGTGCAAAAGGGGCGAGTCTCGCCCCTTTGATGAACCTTGACAATGTTTGGGCCTCGTGCGCGAGTCCCATTTGTGACATGATCAATGAGTTTCATATTAGTCTTCCGAATATTTTTAAACTTATCTATGTGATAAGATATCTTTTGTATTATTCTTTGCATTTTTTTATTTATAAATCGAATGCTTCGTGTATTGAACCTCGATCTTATTGCAATCTTAAATCTTAAGTGGCGTCATTTTTGAGATCGCACTTTCACAAGACTGTTTGTGTTTGACTGTTTGAAATTTTGAGACACTTGCTTTTTTGCTATTTTAAAAAAATGTTTTGAAATTTAAAGGTTTAAAAATTAGCAGAATTCGGTCAATTACAAACGAACTACAAAATAGAAACGGTCTCATTAATATGAGGGGATTAAACAAACGTTCGGTTACGCTACGTCGGCGTTTGCAACGTATGCAAAGTGAATTGCACGTAAAACAAATGCAGGATTTCCTACCGAATGCAGCACGTCAGAGCGTTTATCTACACGCAACTTGCTTTGCGTATGTTAACGTAACGCGGATTCGACGAAACGATCGCTTTAGAAACACTACGTGAAAGATAATATGCGAAGAAAATATGCGATGTAGAACGCAAGGTAAATTCTAAATTGTCGAATGTATAACGAATCGATCATTATTCCAACTGCTTCTTTCAGTCTTTTTTATTTTAAAATTGTCATAGATTTATCATATAGTGATGCATGATAGTGATGAACTTTTATGAGACTTAACAAATGTTTTATAAAAATTGAACATTAAGAAAAATATTATTTATTTATTACAAGATTCATTATAAGTTGATAATATGATAATGCATATGACTGTAATATTAAAAAGTAGTTTGTAATTCGTGCATTTCGTACATTATTGTAATTTTGTTTTATATTGGTCATAAAGAAATTTATTTATTTTAATGATTCATTTTCAACAATTTTTGTTGAGATTATTTCCTAATCAAAATTAAATCATATCTTTTTTGATAAATATTAAAAATAAGAAAAAGCCCAAAATATATTTAAAATGTAAGTTAAAGAGTGAAAAAAATACATGCGTATGTTTTATGTGAGTTCTAACTCAATTCAGTTTCTTAAATTATAAATATGAACTATATTGTCCGTCATCTTAATACATCTTACGACTATATTTTATTGAGATGTTTTATTGACATGTAATCAATGTTAATCAATGTATTTGAATATTCAAGTACTCATTTAATACATATGGCGTCATCTCTTGATAAGCTTGCGAGAATGCTGAAGATGATCGAACTCCGATGGGAATATAACTTCATAAGATAAAACCAGAAAGAAACTTGAGAATAGAGAGAAACCTGAGAATATCTCGGATTTTTTCGTGAAACTATCAAAATCTCCTGCACTATTATTTATAGGTACTGGGAATTCTGCTATATCGAAACATTAAGTTTATTCTTTTTGGTTGAACTTTTTGCAGTTTATTTTTCTTCCTTTTCTTCCATGTTAGAGAGAAAAAGAGAAAAGATGAACTGTGTAAAAAGTTCAGCCAGAGAGGTTCCTCTCTGGTTCAGCTGAAAAAACTGACCTGTTAAGTGTAGTTTGAAGTAGATTCTAATATTCTTCTATATACTTCTAATATACTTATTTCAATGTCATATTTTAGTATATAAGATACATACGCAATAATATCTTGTTTATTATTTATAAAATAAATTCATATTCTTTCTTTAAATTTCTTTAAATAACTTTAAAGCGATTGCATGAATATTATTAAATATGTGCGAGTATATGAAACATTCAAGATAGATCGAACAGATATTCCAATATTAATGAAATGATGATAACTTAAAATATCTAAATGTTATAATTAACATTTAGCTAACTTTATTTAAATGTTTGTCTAAATCGGACATGGTGTATGTTCCAACTTTGTACAATTGATTTCATGACTGTATTAATACTTTTTAATTTTATCGAAATCGTTGAAAATTGTTATGCCGAGTAATTATTTACACAAACAATAAAAATATTTATTATTTTAATTTTTATTTTAATTTATATTATTTTATATTTATTATTTTTAAAAAAAGTATATAAGAATTAGAATGGCATTATAACAATTAAAAATTATAAATAATTTTCGATCTTTGATTAAGAATAATTAATACTATATATTTATAGATTATTATTTAATTATTTGGATTAATATTTGATCTCTATTTTATTATTCATACTATCATTTTATTGAGCAAGCATTATTAGTAAAAAGTTTTACATTTAAGTTTAACATTTTATAAAATATCGTTCTTAGCAATTTTACTTAAGGGGTTCTTACAATAAAAAAAAGCGTTATTTATTACATTATTTAAATTAGCATATTACTACATTAGTTATAATGCATTAATGGAAATATCATCAATATGCCAAATAATTAGTATCATGATCAATTAAAAACTTTTAAAAATTTTTATACTAAAAGTAAACATATGTACACATAATAGATGTTCCTATAATCTTTATTTAATATAATATAGTTACAATTATGTAATACATAATATCATAAAATTTATTATTTCTTATTATAATTACTGCAAAAAAGATAGCAGTGCTTTTTCTCTCTATATATACAATATTTTACACATGTACATATAGTACTTATATTATACTTACAATTCCATTTGTTAACTCTCTGCTACGACATGTAAAATAATTTTCTTAATGAATAAAAGAAATATTAATATAAATAACAAAAAATCAATTAAATAAGGAATTTTAATTAATTCTATTAAAATTTATTTTTTTATTGAACATTTTGCTTGTTCTTATATAAAGTTCTCAATCTTAATTATGTACACACACACACACACACACACACACACACACACACACACACACACACACACACACACACACACACATCACGCGCGCGCGCGCGCGCGCGCATGTGTATGTGTGTTCATAGCTATAGAGTTAGTTAACATAGAGCCAGAAAATTTAAATATTATAATATGCTCAAAAATATTAAATGATAATATGTTTGTCTCAAAAGAAATATAAAAATATTTATATCTTCTAATATTATATTATATATAGTCTATTGTAATATTTATGTAATAGTAACAATTTAGAAATCAGTGCTTATACATATATGAGGTGTTTTTTTATATATGATCACACATCAAATATCCGTAATATTGTAAATATTTCGTGTTATACATAAAATAATGTCATAATGGAATGTATATTTAAATAATAAGAACATAGCCTTTTAATATATGTACGTGGCAGTATGTAATAATTTAATATTTTAAAGATGACTATAGAGAATATACGGCAAACGTGCATTGAAATATCGCTAATTATTCTACAACAAAAATAAAAATCATCGCAAATATACGATGAGTCAGTATAATAATGCAGATAAATGTAATTTATTTTAGCTGTGTATTTAGTAATATTATTCTACTAGCTCTTTCATCGCAGATTATATTATCAGATATTTGAAAGAATTCATTATGCAGGATTATCAGTGGATCTATTAGAAATCGGATAATCGAAGCATATTGTTGTTAGGGAATCCGCAGCATATTTTCGTTCTTGTTGCGTCGTTTTCATCCACTGCTTATGTTCGCATAAATAAGGATATAAAGGAACTACTAATACACTAATGTCATCTACTGATGCTATAGGTGAGGATTTTTCATCTGTTTCATTAGAATTTTCTGGTTTTCCCATCCATACTCTACCAATTAATCGACCTCTTGCCGCTTGCACCAATTCTTGAGCACCCATTGTTAATCTATACAAATCAAAGTAGGCATATTATATATTGTAATTAATTAAATTATAATTAATTTTGGCATATGTGTTTTATAATAAAACCTATATTCTAATGATGGAGTATCAGGTGCAAGGGTCTTCCTAAGTATTGCTGCCGCTGTTTTGTCTGTTACTACATCCCAGAGTCCGTCCGTAGCGACAATAATGCAATCTCGTTCGGTAAGATTGCAACTATCTAAATCCAAAGATTGTACTTCAGGTTGCGATGATAGAAATGGTTTGATATTGACACCAGTATTTGCTGCTTTCAAGCCATGATCTCCAAAACCTCTAGTAACGCCTATCGTTCCCATTACTCTACTCTGTATGTCACAAGTCATTAAGTTATAGTCAGTATTATAAGATTAATTTAAAGTTAATTAATTATTGTTAACGGTGTATATACCCTTTTTCCATGTCCCGAAATGAGCGGTAATTTCAAGTCAAGATGTGTTAAAGTTTTATATGCCCAACCTGTCATAAAAGGTTCTCTATATAAAACCATAGATCCCAGTTCCTTCTGCAATGGTCTCTTCCTAAATTCCAATGGAGTGAAATGACCTTTGAGCAACTCATTGCTTCTTAGATAACCTAAAGCTCTAACACGATTTGATTCAGAATCAGGGGTATGATCTCTAGTAAGAGCACGTTGTTCCTCTCCTAAAACTAATACCGCCCTGATCACATAGAAACAAATATAAACATTTAATTTTAATTTATCATTTAATTAATCAATAATATAT